GAGGCGGGCGAGAAGCTCGGCTTCCTCCCGGGCGACATGCAGGAGAAGGTCAACCCCTACCTCCGCCCCCTGCTCGACGCGCTTAACGACATGATGGACTACCAGACCCTCCGGGGCTTCATGACCTCGGGCGTCATCGAGATCGCGCCCCTCGCCTTCATGCGCGGGCGCACCCTCAACGGCTCCGTCGTCATCCTCGACGAGGCCCAGAACACCACCCGAGCCCAGATGCAGATGTTCCTCACCCGCATGGGCCAGGGCTCCAAGATGATCGTCACGGGCGACACCACCCAGATCGACCTGCCGGACCCCACCCAGTCGGGCCTCATCGACGCCGTCCGCCGCCTCAAGCGCGTCAAGGGCGTCGGCTTCGCCCCGCTCGACAAATCCGACGTCGTCCGTCACGATCTCGTCCAGCGCATCATCCAGGCCTACACCGGCCCGTCCGCCGACGGGCCACGAACGGAGGCGCCGCGCGATGCCTGACGCCCCGAACACATCCAAGTCCAAGGGCTCAAAGTCCCGGCGCGAGGTCGTGCGCAAAACGCTCAAGACGCGCGAGAAGTCCGCGCTCCAGCGCGTCCTCCAGAACCCCGCCGCCATCCCCTCCTCGCTCGTCGTCCTCAGCTTCATCGCCATCACCGCCGCGCTCGTCGTCTGGGCGCAGCGCAGCGCCGTCGTCCCCATCGGGCGCATCGCCGACACCTCCACCACCGTCCGCGTCGAGTTCCAGGTCCTCGACGCTCAGGCCACCGAACGCGAACGCGACAAGCGGCGCGACCTCGCCCCGCGCGTCTACCGCATCGACGCCCAGCTCCTCGACACCCTCCACACCTCCTTCACCACGCTCCCCCAGATCCTCGCCACCGCCGGCTCGTTCGAGCAGGTCGTCCCCGAGGTCGTCGACGCCTTCAAGCTCACGCCCCAGCAGTTCGAGGCCGTCCGCGCCCAGAGCGTCGACGGCGAGAGCACCCCGCGATGGAAGGCCTCGTGCGCCTCGCTCCAGAACGCCCTCCGCAACACCCCCTTCCTCGCCTCCTCCGAGTACCAGCTCGCCCTCGCCGAGAACAAACGCCTCGAGCTCCGCCTCGACGACAACGCCGTCCGCTCCACCGGCATCGATTCCGCCATCGATATCGACAAAGACAGCACCGACCAGATCCGGTTCCTCGTCCGCAACGCGGGCTTCGACGGCCTCCTCGAGCAGGTCGCCGCGCAGAGGCTCATCTCCCTCGACCGCCCCACCTTCACCCACGACAAGGAATCCACCGACGCCCTCCGCGACAAGGCCGCCGAGGACGTCGCCAAGGTCTTCGTCCCCCACCGCCCGCCCGAGCCCATCACCATCCGGGGCCAGCGCATCACGGAGACCCAGGCGAGCCTCGCCCGTCAGGAGGCGGCGCGCTTCCGCGAGGCCCAGGGCCCCTGGATCGGCGCCCTCCGCACCGGCGCCACCGTCGCGCTCATCCTCCTCATGACCGGCGCCCTCTCCGTCTACACCGCCTCGAGCTACCCGCGCATCGCCCGCAACCCCTGGCGCGTCTTCGCGCTCTGCGCCCTCCTGCTCACCGCCATCGCCGTCGCCCTCTACACCGCGGCACGGACCCCGCAGTTCAACTGGCTCGCCTTCTCCGGCGCCGCCAGCTTCGTCACGATGATGATCGTCGTCGCGTACGGCCCGCGCTTCGCCGTCGTGACCACGTCCTTCGTCCTCGCCGTCGCCGCGATCGCCACCAACATCCCCGTCCTCACGCTCACCGCCGTCGGCGTCGGCGCGTTCGTCGCCGCGTGGTCGCTCCGCGACGTCCGCAACCGCTCGGACCTCGTCCGCACCGGCCTCTACTCCGGCGCGACGCTCCTCGTCGCCTGCCTCGTCGCCTCCGTGCTCGCCAGGCCCATGGTCCCCGGCATCTGGCGCGAGGTCCTCACCGACTGCCTCCAGGCCGGCTTCGGCGGCTTCTTCGCCGGCGGCTTCTCCCTCGTCATCCTCCCCTCCGTCGAGCGCATCTTCGACATCACCACCGGCATGTCCCTCTCCGAGTGGCGCGACCCCAAGCAGCCCCTGCTCCGCCTCCTCCAGCAGCGCGCCCCCGGCTCCTACAACCACTCCCTCACCGTCGCCTCCATCGCCGAGGCCGCCGCCGACGCCATCGGCGCCGACGCGCTGCACCTCTACGTCGGCGCGCTCTACCACGACATCGGAAAGATGAACAAGCCCGGCTACTTCGTCGAGAACCAGTCCGGACAGTCCAACAAGCACGACAACCTCTCACCCGCCATGTCGCTCCTCGTCATCGTCGGGCACGTCAAGGACGGCCTCGAACTCGCACGCGAGTACAACCTCCCACGCTCGCTCCACCACTACATCGAGGCCCACCACGGCACCACGCTCGTCGAGTACTTCTACGACGCCGCGAAGAAGCAGGCCGACGAGGACGAGAGCGAATCACCCAAGGAGATCGAGTACCGCTACCCCGGCCCGCGCCCCCACACGCGCGAGGCCGCGATCCTGATGATCTCCGACGCCGTCGAGTCCGCGACGCGCGCCATGTCCGAACCCACCCCCTCGCGCATCGCGACGCTCGTCCACGCCATCGCGCAGAAGCGCCTGGCCGACGGCCAATTCGACGAGTGCGACCTCACCCTCCGCGAGCTCCGCGTCATCGAGGACTCGATCATCAAGACGCTCTGCGCCATCTACCACGGCCGCATCGCCTACCCCACGGACGCCGCCGCCCCCAAGGAAGAGCAGCCCCCCGCGACCGACGAGCGGGAATCGGCCGAGCAGAGCGCCTGAGCCCAAAATCGCAATCCAGGGTCAATAAACGCGGTTTACGCCGTTTTGTTTATTGTTTTTATTTCGTTTATTTCGTTTAGACGATAGAATGGGGACGGAGGACGACCCATGATCGCTGGATCGCACTATTTCGACGCCCCGCCCTCAGAGCACGACGCGCTGCTCGCCGCACGATCCCGTGAAGCATTGTGCCAGTTGATGCACAAAGATGAGTCACTCCGGTTGACGTTCACCAACGGCACGGAGCGCACGATCGACATCCCCGCCCCCGCAGCGAGGATGCTCGTCGACATCCTCGATCAGATCGCCCACGGCAACGCGGTCACGCTCTTCCCGATTCACGCCCAGCTCACCACGCAGCAGGCCGCGGATCTTCTCGGTGTGTCACGCCCGTTCGTCGTGAAGGAAATCGAGTCTGGCCACCTTCCCGCAACGAGAGTCGGCAGCCACCGCAGAATCCTGTTCAAGGATTTGATGGACTACAAGCGGAAGAGCGATGCCGATCGCCAGAAAGCGATGGACGAGCTCGCAAAGCTCGACCAGGAACTCGGGCTCAAATAAGCATCCCACAGTAGCCTGCGTGGATGCACAGCCATTTCACGGTGGTCTACGACGCGTGCGTGCTCTACCCGGCGACGCTGCGCAACGTGCTCATGCAGCTCGCCACGACGCCGCTTTTTCGCGCGAGATGGACGGATCGGATCCACGAAGAATGGATTTCGAGTCTGCTGAACTCAAGGCCCGACCTGAAACCAGAAAACCTCGCACGCACACGCTCGCACATGGATCGCGCGGTCCCGAGCGCTTTGGTCACGGGATACGAGCAAATTATCGAGAGCCTGCATCTCCCCGACCCGAACGACCGGCACGTCCTCGCCGCGGCGATCCGTTGCAACGCCGACGCGATCGTGACCGTCAACCTGAAAGACTTCCCACGCGGCACCCTCGCTCGATACGGTGTCGAGTCGCTGCACCCCGATGAATTCGTATCGAATCTCGACGATCTCGATCCGGTCACCGTCCGCGACGCGCTCAAGGCCGTCCGATTGAGACTGTTCACCCCCACTTATTCGAACCTCGAATTCCTCGACCTGATCAAGCGTCAGGGCCTCGCGCGCACCGCCGCGAAGTTGCGGGATCACGCCGGGGATATCTGACTCAAACCCCCGCCCCGTTCCCCCGCCCCGCGCGCTCGCGGATCGCGTCCAGCGCCTCGTCGATCGCGCGCTCCACGTCGTCGTTCACGATGAACACGTCGTACGCGCCGCACGCCTTCGCCCGCGCGATCTCGTTCTTCGCGATCTCGAACCGGCGCCGGATCGCCTCCTCCCCCTCGCGCTTCCGGTTTCGGAGCCGCGCGAGCAGGTCGTCCTCGCTCGGCGGCAGCACGAACAGCGCGAACGCCCCCGGCATCCGCGCCTTGATCTGCTCCGCCCCCTGCACGTCGATCTCCAGCAGCACCGTCTTGCCGTCCGCCAGCGCCGCCTCCACCGGCTCACGCAGCGTCCCGTACCGCTTGCCCGCGTACTCCGCGTGCTCCAAAAACGCCCCGGCGCGAACCTTCTCGTCGAACTGATCCGCCGTCAGGAAGTGGTAGTCCACCCCGTCGCGGTCCGCCTCGGTCTGCGCCCGCGTCGTCGCGCTCACGGAGAACACCGTGTCGCCCAGACGCTCGTTCACCGCGCGCGTGATCGTCGTCTTCCCGACGCCCGAGGGCCCCGAGATCACCACAAGCAATCCAGAAGAGTCTTCGCCTCCCATCCCGCGAGTGTACCCCATCCGGACCGACCGTCACCGAGACGACAGCTTCTCCCGGCGGGCCCCCTCCAGCGACACCACGTCGATCGGCACCAGACGCTCCGTCTGACGCTCGCTCGACAGATCACGCACGCGCACCTTCAGCGTGTACCGACCCGTCGAGAGCGTCTCCGGCAGCTCCACCGTCTGCACCAGGAAATAGTCCCGGCGCGCCCGACGCGAAAAATCCTTCACCGACTCCTCGCTCGTCTTCCACGTCAGCAGGTCGCCCGCTCCCCCCGCGGACCCGCTCCCCTCGCCCTGCTGCTGGTACAGGCTCATCCCCAGCGCCACGCTGCTCTCGAACCCCTCCACGCCCTCGCGCACCGCCGGCTCGTGCGTGAACCCCTCCACCTCCACGTACACCACGGCCCGGTACCGACGTCCCGCGATGAGCCGGAACCGCCCATCCTCGTCCGCGTTCATCGCGTCGTAGTGCCCGTACCCGTACACCGCCGTGCACAGCGACGCGTCCGAGATCGTCAGCTCCCCCCACTCGCGCCACGCCTCCTCGCGCTCCCGCACCTCGCGGTACAACACCAGCCGCTCCTCGTCGAGCGAATCCTCCATCTCCACCACCGCGTCCAGCACCAGCGCCCGCCACAGCGTCAGCGCCTCGCGCTGCGCGTCAGTCAGCGCCGTCGCCCCAGCCGCGTCGAGGTAGTACGTGTTGAACAGCCCCGGCGCCACCGCGTCGAGCATCGCCAGCCGCGCCAGATCCCCGTACCCCACGCCGAACTCGTCCCGCGTCGCCCGCTCCGCCAGCATCACCGCCAGCTCCGTCGCGTACGACTCGATCTGCGCGTCCAGGTCCGCGCCCGTCGCGGTTTTCGCCCGTGCCGCCGGCGTCGCGTCCGCCTCGCCCCGCGCCGCTCGCGTCGCCTCGTCGTCCAGGACGATCTCACCCTCCGCCGTCGTCACCGGCGTCACGTTCGACCGCAGCTCCCCCGCCTCGCTCGATGCGATCTCCCGCTCGGCCGTCGCGTTCCGCGCCGCGTACTCATCCAGCAGCTTCGTCGTCTCCTCGAACTCGCCGGGCGACGCGTCCGCGCTCGCCGCCTGGCCCGTCCCGCACCCCGAGAGCGATAGCCCCGCCCCGGCGCAGAGCCCCAGCGCGATCACGCGAAACGATGAAAGAGCGATCCGTCCCCGTCCAGACATCGGCGTCCTGCCTTCCGCCCGCATCGACGCGGGCCCAGAGTCATCGAAGCGCCACTCCTTGGCGCATCAGTTCTCATCGTCCACCCGACGCCCGCGCCTCCGAAAAACGCACCGTGAGCATCTCCAGACCCCGCACCGGGTCCCCCTGCCCGGTCTTCCCCCGAACATCCGCCTCCACGCTCGCCCGGAGCAGCGCCCGCGCCCCCTCGCCCCCCACCGCCTCCGCCAGCGAGACCATCTCGTTCACCCCGTCCCCGAACATCTTCGCCTGACGCATCGCGATGTTCCCCGGCATCCCCGATTCCCGCGCCCGAGCGTACTGGTGCACCTTCCGCGCCACGTCCGCGTAGAAGTACCGCATCGGCACCGCGTCGATCCCGCTCGTCTCCATCAGCTCGTGCAGCTTGTGCAATCCCCGCGACGCGTCGCCGCTCGCCAGCGCCCCCTGGATCAGCCACACCGCCTGCTCGCGGCTCAGCTCCACCATCTCCGCCACGAGCTCCCGCGTCACGGGTCGCCCCGCCCCCGCCGCGCTCACCAGCTTCCCGAGTTCGCTGTCCAGCCGCCCCAGGTCCGGCCCCACCCGCGCGACCAGCTCCTCCGCCGCCCGCGGGTCCAGCTCGCCCCCGTGGCGCACCTTCGCGCGGCCCACCGCCCAGCGCATCGCCTGTGTCTCATTCACCAGGTCGCACTCTTTGATCGCCCCCACCGCCTCGATCATCTTGTCCAGCTTCCCCGGTCGCCACCCCTCGGCCTGCAAAATGAGCGTCGCCCCCTCGCTCGGCGACTGCGCGTACCGCTCCACCAGCGCCCGCTGCTCCTTCGAGACGAAGTCCTCCGCGTTCCGCACCACCACCGCCTTGTGGGCGCTCAGCAGCCCGAAGCTCCGGCACTCGTCCAGCACGTCCGCCGGCGTCGCCTCCGCCCCGTCGAACCGAGAGACCTCCACGTCCCCGTGCGTCTCGCGCAGCCGCTCGATCAGCTGGTCCGCGAACAGCCCCATCAGGAACCGCTCCTTGCCCTTCAACAGGACAACGCGGTGCCCGGGCGTCAGCTCGACAGGCTCCTTCTTCTTCGATCCCTTTGATCCGCTTCGCTTGGCCATACGAAGACCAAGTCTACACGGGGCGATATGCTCCAACGAGGTTCACCGTGCGCTCAATCCCCAACACACGATTCTCGCCCTTCCAGCTCCGCACCCTCCTGCGCGATTCGCTGGACCCCGACGAGCGGATCATCGGCTGGGGCGTCGCCCAGAAACGGCCCGACGGACCCCAGCAGTCCCTCATCCTCCTCGCCACACTCCTCCCGGGACCCGGAACCCTCCTGGCCGCCTCCCTCTCCCTCCGCATCTCCCGGTTCCTCATCCTCACGGACCGGCGCCTGCTCGTCACCCTCCCCGACCCCTCCGGCCCCGACCCCACCCGAAAGGGCGTCACCCTCGACACCCCCATCGAGAACCTCTCCGTCACCCAGCTCCCGGGCGACAACGTCTTCCTGCTCAACATCGAGGGCTGGCCCTCGCCCGAGCGACTCGAGCTGAAGGCCCACGATTCCCGCGCGTGCGAGAGCCTCGTCAGCGCCTTCCGCGTCCTCGCGCAGGAAGAGGCCGATCGCTCGTTCACCGATCCCGATTGAGCTCAGTCCGCCCGCTCGCGGTTCTCGGGCAGCCCCACCTCGAACGCGCGGATCAGGTAATGACCGCTCGCCGCGATGAACCCGATCACCACCAGCAGCGACACCACCGCCACCGCGGCGAGCAGGATCCCGTTCAGGGCGAGCACCTTGTTCAAAATCGAATCCACCACGAACACCGCGGCGACCGCCGCGAGCGGCACCGCGAGGATCATCCCCTTCACCAGCAGCGGGACCGACTTCGACGGACGCTGAGCCAGCGCCGTCAGCGCCGCGAGCCCGAAGAACAGCCCGGCGCACCCGAGCCGCACGTACACCGCGGGCAGCAGCTCCGCCCCCGGCGCGTTCGGGCTCACGCTCCCGGACTCGATCACACTCGAGAACGCCGGGACGCTCAGCGTCGCCCCCGTCAGCACCGTCCCGCCCACGATGAACATCGACAGCGCCGGCGCGAATCCGAACTTCCCAAGGCCGGTCAGCACCCCGAACACGCACGCGAGGAACACGCAGATCTCGAACCCGAGCATCAGCTCTTCGCCCCGCGTCACGCCGAGCCAGATGCCCGCCGCGGCGCTCAGCCCGACGGCGAGCGACAAGATCACGCACAGCCCGCGCAGCAGCAGCGGGAACCGCGCGTCCTCGCTCGTCGTGCTCGTGTTTTTGGCTCGCTCGGTCTGGCTCACGATCGCTCCCTGGCCTGGCGTCCCCGGCCCCCCGGAGGACGCCAGACATCATACGAACGCCCGACCGCCCGTGTTCACGCCGCCCTGGTGGCGCTCTTCAGGTCGCCGTACATCGTCGAGCACGACCGCCCCGCCCGCTTGGAGGCGTACAGCGCCTCGTCCGCGAACTGCAGCAGGTCCGCCTCGGTCGTCGCCCCGTCGGATTTCGACAGCGCCACGCCCACCGACATCGTCGGCCAGTCCTCGCCGAGCTGCCTGGACTTTTTGTGGCTCGAGAACGCCTGCGCGATCCGCTGCGCCACACCCGCCGCCTGCGTCCGGTCCGTGTCGTAGAGCACCAGGAACAGCTCGTCCCCGCCGATCCGCGCCGCGATGTCCGTCTCGCGCGACTCCGCGTTGAGCACCTGGCCCGCCGCGACCAGCGCCTCGTCCCCCATCGCGTGCCCGTGCGTGTCGTTGAGCTGCTTGAACTTGTCCAGGTCGATCGCGAGCAGCGCGAGCTCCTCACCGCTCCGGCGCGCCTCGCGGAAGAGCTTCGTGAACCCCTCCTCGAACCCGCGTCGGTTCACCAGGTTCGTGAGCGGGTCCGTCGTCGCCTCCTTGCGCAGCGCCGCCGTCTTCGCCTTCGCCTTGGAGTCCGCGAGCGTGTCCATCTCGCGGCGCAGCCACCCCGCCTCGAGGCGGTGGTGGTGCGTGCGCGTCAGCGCCTCGTGCACCCGCTGCGCGATCCCGCCCAGCTCCGCGTCCGTGCAGAACGCCAGGAGCGACTCGAACGACACCGTCCGCTTCGGCTCCAGCGCCTGCTCGAGCACCCGCTCGAACGACTCGCGCCGATCGACCGCCTCGCGCGCCGATTTCGAGAAATGCACCAGCACGGACACCAGCGTCCCAACCGCCCCGCAGAACGCGCCGGCGAGGGCCGTCAGCACCACCGGCGCCCCGAACAGCCCGCACACCAGCGCCCCGGCGAACGCGCACCCGCCGCCGATCGCCCCGCACAGCGCCGCGCGCCGCTCGGGCGAGACCGACGCCTCGCGCTCGCCGTACTCTGATTCCTCGTCGACCGACGCGACCGGCGGACCCTGCGTCTCCTCCGTCGCAGAGCCGCCGACCGACGCCGAAAGCTCACCGTTCATCACCGATCCAACGCCGCCCGCCTTCGATTCGTCCGCGCCCATGGGCTCGTATCCTCCGCCGTCGCGCACCGCGACCGCCCTTCCCATCGGCCAACCCCCCATTCCCGTTGACGCCATTCCCGTTTTCAACCCCCACCCTCACAAGGCCAACCCCGCACGACGCTCCCCCACGAGCCGATCCCGCCCAACCCCTACAGACGGACCCGATCAGAGCGCATCGCGAACCAACCCCGACCGTCAGGGAGGGGCTTCCATTCGGATTCGTTCACACAGGGCAGCCCCTCCCTCACGGTCGGGGTTGGTGCTCGGCTCACCCAGCGCTCGACGGGTGCCAGATCGTCTTCATCTCCACGAACGGCTCCATCCACCACGGACTCGTGCACGACTCCGCATTGAAGAAGTCCGTCTCCCCGTCCCGCACCACCACCCGCTTCACGTTCTCCGCGCTCCCCAGCTCCACCGCGCGGCGCTCGTCGTCGCTCAGCCCGCCCGCGTGGATCGCGTTCACCTCGCGGTGCTCCGCCGCCCACTTGAGCAGCTCGGCCCGCATCCCCGTCAGCACGTTCACCACGCCCCCCGGCACGTCGCTCGTCGCGCACACCTCGCCGAAGACGCTCGCCGTGATCGGCTCCGCCTCGCTCGACAGCGCCACGCACGTGTTCCCCCCCGCGATCACCGGCGCCACCACGGACACCAGCCCGAGCAGCGACGGCGCCTCCGGCGCCACGCACACCACCACGCCCGTCGGCTCCGGCACCGTGAAGTTGTAGTACGGCCCCGCCACCGCGTTGTGGCACCCCAGCGCCTGCGTGTACTTGTCGCACCACCCCGCGTACGCGACCAGCCGGTCCACGCTCTCGTCCACCTCGTCCGCCGCCTCCGCCTTCGTCAGCCCGACGACCCGTCGCAGCGCGTCCTCGAACTCACCGCGCTTGCCCTCGAGCATCTCCCCCATCCGGTACAGGATCTGACCCCGGTTGTACGCGTCGCGACCCCGCCACCCGTTCAGCGCCCCGCGCGCCGCCTTCACCGCGTCCCGCAGGTCCTTCCGCGACGCGTGGCACACGTGCGCGACCACCTCCCAGTCCTCGTCGCGCACGATCGTCGAGCGCCCCGACTCGCTCCGCGGGAACGCGCCGCCCACATACAGCTTGTACGTCTTGCTCACGCCCAGCCGACCGCTCATCGCTCACCCTCCCGGCGCACGCCGATCCCGTACGCCCCCGTCCCCGTCCGCGCCTCGTGCCGGCCGATCACCGAGTACGTCCGACGCGTGAGCGGCGCCGGATCCGGCAGGTGGCCCGTCGTCGCGAGACGCTCCTGCGCCGTCGCGCTCAGCTCACGCGTCTCGCTCTGGAGGTGGACCCGCGCCGTCGCGCGATCCGTCACCACCGGGTCCGTCACCCGGTCCGGATTCGCCCGCGCCGCCGGACGCGTGTACGTCTCCGGCGTCGTCGGCACCGCGTACGTCGTCGAGACCGACGCGTACCCACGCGACGTCACCCCGCCGTGCGCGTGCGTCGCGTTGTTCCGAACCCCGTACGTCCCGCGCGCCACTCGCGACGTCGCGCGCACGTCCGGACCGATCGTCGAGCCGTGCTCGAGCCCCCGCGGCGTCAGCTGACGCGGCGTGAAGTTCTGCGTCGTCACCGTCGGGTTGTTCAGCGTCCGGCCAACCTCCATCCGCTGGTACATGCTGTACGCCGAGTCGTTGTACGCCGCCGACCGGTCGTACACGAACGTCCCCGTGTTCCGGTTCACGCGGTACGGGCTCGCCGTCATGCGGCCGCGGTGGTTCGTCGTCGAGACGTTCACCCGCGACACCCCGAGCCCGCGGTCCAGCGCGTACTGCGCTTCCGCCGTCCCGGAGACAAGCACCGACGCGAGCAGGATGAAAAGCGCCGTCCGTCCCACGGCCTACTCCTCGATCACGCGTTCGAGCGTCGCCTGGAAGACCAGCGTCTCGCTCGGGCCGATCTCCGGCGCCTTGCCCGCCGCGCCGTGCGCCATCGACGGCGGGATCGCGATCACCCACGTGTCGCCCGGACGCATCAGCTGCGCCACCTCGCGACCGCCCGGCAGCATCGTCTCCACCGCGATCCGGACCGTCCCCGCCTCGCCGATCTCCTGACCCGCGAGCGTCCGGCCCTGGAACGTCACCTCGATCGTGTCGTCGAGCGTCGGAGAGTCACCCGATCCCGACTCCACCACCATGTACTGCACCCCGCTGTCCAGCGTCACCACGCCCTCCTTCGCGCCGAAGGTCTCGTGGAACTCGCGGCTCCGGCGGAGGTTCTCGTCGTGCACCAGCTTGAACGAGGGGTCCTCCGACAGCCGCGCCTGCGCGAGGCGGTCGTTCACCTCACGCTCCAGGTCCGCCAGCGACGCGTAGATCTCGCTCCCGCTCATCCGCGGCTCGCGCTCCAGCATCGCGTCGGAGATGCCACGAAGGAAGCTCTCCATATCCACGACCACCCCGTCCGCCCGGATCTGCTCGAGCGTCAGGATCCCCAGGTCGAAGCCCACGGCGTACCCGACCTTCTCCTTCTCGGTCATGTCCGCCGGACGCTCGCTCGCCTCGCGAGCCGTCAGCGATCCGCCGATCACCAGGCACCCCGCCATCACCGCCAGAACCGTCGCGCACCGTCTCATCGTCATAGCCTCCGTGAGAATCCTTGGATCATTCAAAGGATAGCTCGTAGGTGATGCTCACGCTCGCCGAAACCGTCAGCGTCCCCGCCTCGATCGGCGTCGGCGCCATGTCGCTCATCATCATCGTTTCCCCCCGCGCGTACCTCGGAGAGGGCGGGGCCGTCGCCCCGCTCTCCTGGGCGCTCACCACCCGCCGGATCGTCGCCCCCATCGCCCCCGCCATCACGTTCGCCTTCGTCTTCGCCCGCATCGTCGCCTCCGCCAGCGCCCGCGTCTGCGCCTCGAACGGGTCACGCGTCGTGAACTCCACACCCTGCAGCTGGTTCGCACCCGACTTCACCGACACGTCGATCACCTCGCCCGTCCGCTCGATGTCGTCGATCTGCACCCGCAGCGTGTTGCTCGCCCGGTACCCCACGATCGTCGGCGCCTCGCCCTCTCCCCGCAAAGCCCGCGGCCGGTTCTCGAACACCGGGTACACCGAGACGTTGCTCGTGCTCAGCCGCGTCCCGCGGATCTCCAGCGCCTCGATCCCCGCCTTCGCCTCCGCCAGCTTCGCGTTCACCGCGTGCATCGCCGACTGCGCCGTGTCCCCCTCCTCCACCACGCCCACGCTCACGATCGCGCGGTCCGGGTCGATCTCCACCGATCCCGTCGCCGTCACGCTCAGAACCGACCCCGCCCCCGCGCACGCGCACCCGGCGCACGCGCACGCCGCGCCCTCCTGCGCGATCGCCACCGCCGCCGAGGAGAACACCGCCGCCATCCCGATCACCAGGCCCGCCATCCGACGATTCATCGCCATCACCTTTCCTTGAGATCCGACACACGGAACACCGCCGTCACCGAACGCCGGTACGACAGCTCGCCCACCTCGATCCACTCGTGCCAGGACACGTCCTCGTTCTCGAAGATCGAGTACCCGCCCCCGCCGTACACCGTCCCCCCAACGTTCACGAGCCCCGTCACCTCCACGCCCAGCGCCTGCGCGATCGCGTCCGCCTGCTCCCGCGCGTCCTTCACCGCCAGCGCCAGGGACCGCAGGCGCGCCTCGCGGTCGTCCTCGAGCACGAACCGCACCTCCCCCACCGAGTTCGCCCCCGCGCGCGTCCCCACGTCGATGATCTCGCTCACCCGCTCCAGCCCGCTCGTCCGCACCCCCACCGTGCTCTCCGCCCGGTACCCGAGCAGGCGAGGACGCTTCCGGAGCCGCCGGTCCTCGTCGCTCTGCCCCTCGTACACCGGCTCGATCGACACGCTCGTCGTCGAGAATTCCGCGCCCGGGAGGTCCAGCTTCTTCAGTTCGTCCAGCACCCGCTCCATGCTCCGCGCGATCGAATCCGCCAGACGCTCCGCCGTCGCCCCCGACTCGATCACCGACAGCTCCACCACCGCCGTGTCGGGCGTCACGTCCACCGCCCCCTCCCCCGTCACCGTGATCGTCGGACCGACAACCTCGTACGCTCCCCGCCCCTCCATCTGCGCGAGCGCCAAAGACGGAACGAGTCCAACCACCACCGCGACCATCCACACCAGGCGTTCGATCATCTTCATGCGAGTACTCCTTGATTCAGAACGCCAGTTCAGACGCGCAACGCGCAAACCGGTGCCGCTCACTCGAAGACAACCGGGAGCGTCAGCGACCGGGCTTCCAGATCCCACCCTGAAACCACCGTCTCTGTCCGGTCAGACATTGTTGTCCACCACAATCTCCGGAAAAATCGCCCGCACGCGATCGAGCACGTCCTCCGCCTCATCGTTGCTCAACGAACGGCCCATCGTGCAGGTTTTGTCGCCGTACCGGAACGAAATCGAGTCCATCCCGCCTCTCATCGCGTTCATCTGCGCCTGATGCGGGTTGAACGACGCGACCCGCATCCGAGAAATCTCCGCGAGGTCGTACTCCTTGACCTTGCTCATGATCGGCGACCGGACCCTGTGGGTCAGCGAGAGCGACGTGATTTCTATCTGCTCACGCCCCGCGAACATCCAGAACACCTGCCGGAACACCATGACCCCGCCGAGCGTCCACCCCGCGAGCCACACGACCATGAACAGACTGATGCCACCCGCGAACAAGCCGCCCCCGCTTCCCGATCCATTCGAACCCGACGTCACAAATCCCGAAACGAGAATGCCGATGGCAATGACTTCGCCGATCGCCCAGCCGATCAACCAGAAGCACATGAAAGAACCCGCAAGGAACTGCCGCTGCGGACGAGAATCCACCCTGACAAACCCGTCACGCAAGTCGTATTGAATCCGACCACTCGTCGGGAGAACACGCGCCATCTCAACGTCTCCGACCCGTCCGCTCCCTCACGGTCGCGGATGCTACACCTGTATTCCTAGTGCCAAGTGCCTAGTGCCTCAACCGCACATACCCCCTGAGCCCCTGTCGCCCGCCTTCCCGCCCGAACCCGCTCTCCTTGAACCCACCAAACGGGCTCGCCGCGTCGAACTTGTTGTACGTATTGAGCCACACCACGCCCGCCTCCAGCCTGCTCGCGATCTCGAAGATCTTCGCCCCCTTGTCCGTCCACACACCCGCCGCGAGGCCGTACGGCGAGTTGTTCGCCCGGCTCAGCGCCTCTTCCGGCGTCCGGAACGTCTGCACCGCGAGCACCGGGCCGAAGATCTCCTCCTGCGCGATCGTGTGGCTCTGCTGCACGTCCGTGAAGAAGCAGGGCGCACAGAAGTACCCCTTCTTCGGGAGCGGAGAGCCGTTGACTTTGTGGAGAACAGCCCCCTCGCGCGCGCCGATGTCGATGTACCGCTCGATCGTCTCGAGCTGCCCCTTCGAGTTGATCGCCCCCACGTCCGTGTTCTTGTCCATCGGGTCGCCCACGCGCAGGGACGCGAGCCGGATCCGCAGCTTCTCCGCCACCTCCTCCGCGATCGACTCCTGCACGAACAGCCTCGACCCCGCGCAGCACACGTGCCCCTGGTTGAAGTAGATCCCCTGGATGATCCCCTCGATCGCCTGCTCGACGCTCGCGTCCTCGAAGATGATGTTCGGGCTCTTGCCGCCCAGCTCGAGCGTGAGCCCGATCCCATCCCCGCGCTCCGCCTTGATCCGCGCCAGCGCCTTGCCCACCTCCGTGCTCCCCGTGAACGCCAGCTTGTCGATCCCGGTGTGACGCGCCAGCGCCGCGCCGGTCCCGCCGTGACCCGTCACGATGTTCACCACGCCCTTCGGCAGCCCGACTTCGGCGCAGATCTCCGCGAACCGCAGCGCCGTCAGGCTCGTCGTCTCCGCCGGCTTGAGCACCACCGTGTTCCCGCACGCCAGCGCCGGCGCGATCTTCCACGCCAGCATGAGCAGCGGGAAGTTCCACGGGATGATCTGCCCGCACACGCCGATCGGCTCAATGTCACCCGCGGCGCACCCCGGGAACGCGTACTGAAGCTTGTCCGCCCACCCCGCGTGATAGAAGAAGTGCTGCGCCGCGAGCGGGATGTCCACGTCGCGCGACTCCTTGATCGGCTTGCCCCCGTCCATCGTCTCGAGCACCGCCAGCTCGCGCGCCCGCTCCTGGATCCGGCGCGCGATCCGGAAGAGATACTTCCCCCGCTCCTTTGCCGGCAGCTTGCTCCACGGCCCCAGCGCCGCCCGCGCCGCCTTCACCGCGCGGTCCACGTCCTTCTCGCTCGCCTCCCCGATCTTCGCGAGCGGCTTCTCAGTCGCCGGGTTGATCGTCGCGAACGATTCCTTCGCGTCGACGAACTTCCCGTCGATGAACAGCCCGTACGACGCCGCGATCTCCACCTTCACCGACTCCGGCGCCGGCGCGTAGTCCCACCGCCCGCCGAACTCCAGCCGCGGCCCGTCGCCATCGCGCGTCGCCAGCGCCGTCTCGCCGTTCGCCGTGGTCTCCGTCCGCTCGTCCGTCGCCTGCGTGTCCATCGGGGTGACTCCTCAAAGCCGTCATGATCCGGGCCCCCAATCCTACCGCGCCGCCCCCGGAATCCCCCCGGATCCTCACCTCATCGTTTCCGATCACACTGAATCCGAACGAGAAAAGTGCCGAAAAACACTTGACGCCCCGTATCGCGGGTGTACCCTTCTGCGTCTCAGTCTGTACAAGAAAGACCACATGACCATCGTCACCCTCAATCCCGCCCCCGCCAACCGCCGACGCACCATGCGAACCCGCATGTGTCATGTCCATATTCTGGACGGCGGAGTGCGAGCCGGGCGACGATGATCCACTAACAATCATCAACGCCCCGCGAAGGGCGACGATCACACGATCAACCCCGCACGCCGCCGTCCGAACCAGACCGCGGCGTGCTGTCGTTTTGCACGCCAACGTCTGACACATCAAACGAACACGACACCGACCGCGGGCACACTGCGCGCCCACCAGTATCCCCACGCCCACTTTCAGCACACACGAAACCGAAGCGAGCACAATCGCATCCGAGTCAGACCAAGGAACCGAGCCATGAAAAACTTCGACCAGGACACGTCCAACTTCGCGAGCGACAACACCAACGACGCGACCGACAAGGAAGGAGACAACGCCGTGAAGGACTACCCCGTCTCACGCGTCGTCGTGAACCCCGCCGTCTTCGACCTGCTCCGGAAAAACTCCCTGAGCGACCCCATCAAAAGAGAACGCTGGCTCATCACCCGCCTCGGCCAATCCCCGAGCAGCGGCCCCGACGAAACCAAGGTCATCCCCATCTACGTTCCGAAGAACTAAGCCCCGCTGGAGTATCCACCGCAAAAACAGCAGCCGCGAGCGGAAGCGAGCGGACCACTGTTCGTCGTCTCGGAAGGAGAGAGCCGAGCCGACCCCATCACCGCCGGGCCTCAGGGGAGGGCGATGGGCCGCACTTCTCCGCCGCGCCCCATCGCCCCGCCCGGCTGGTCAATAACAACCGCGAGAGTCATCGAGCGGATCCGCTGAACCGTCCGAGCGTACAGATTCAAAAACGCTGAAACACGGCGATCCCCGGACTCCAAAGCAAAAGCCCGCGGCGGAGCCGCGATCCTCTTTGACGCAAGCGTCACCGCACACCGCCGCGTCTCACCGATTCTGATTTGCTTCGTCCGTGCGCTTCAGCGTATCCGCTCGATAACTCTCGCGGTTGCTACCTCACGCCTCCGAAAAATCATGCCCCGCCATATACCGCCCCGTGCGCACCTTCCCGAGCTGCATCAACAGATCATTGAGCAAACTCGACGCCCCGAACCGGAACAGATCCGGAGTCAGCCACGCGTCCCCGAGCGTCTCCTTCACCATCACCAGGTAGTGAAGCGACTGCTTCGCCGTCTTGATCCCCCCCGCCGGCTTCATGCCGATCTTCTCGCCCGTGCGCAGGTAGTGATCGCGGATCGCCTCGAGCATCACGAGCGTCACCCCCATCGTCGCGGCCGGGTTGATCTTGCCCGTGCTCGTCTTGATGAAGTCCGCCCCCGCGTCGATCGCCAGGTCGCTCGCCCAGCGCACCAGGTCGTACGTCTCCAGCTCGCCCGTCTCGAGGATCACCTTCAGGTGCGCCGCTTTTCCGTCCGGCGTGCGCGAATTCACGCACACGTCCTTCACCGCACAGATCTCCGCGTGCACCCGCTCGTCCTCCCCCGCGAGCAGCGCCCCGCGCGAGATCACCATGTCGATCTCGTCCGCCCCCAGCTCGATCGCCCGCTTCACGTCCTCGAGCCGGATATCGATCGGGTACTGGCCCGAAGGGAACCCCGTCGCCACCGACGCCAGGTGAACCCCGCTCCCCGCGAGCGCCTCGTACGCCACCTCCACCAACTCCGGGTACACGCACACCGCTCCGACGTGCGGGATGTCCGGCTGCGACGCGTCCGGCTGGATCGCCTTCGCGCACAGCGCCCGCACCTTCTGCGGAGAGTCCTTCCCCTCGAGCGTCGTCAGGTCCACCATCGACACCGCGAGGCGCAGACCCGCCTCCTTCATCGACGTCTTGATCGACCGCTTCGTGAACGAAGCCGCCCGCTGATCCGCCATGACCCGATCGACTGTGATTCGACGCATGGAATAAGTGTAGCCGAGGCGTCAAGCAGCAACCGCGAGAGTCATCGAGCGGATCCGCTGGACCGTCTGGAATTTCGAATTCAAAATCGATGAAACACGGCGATATCCGGACACCAGCTCAAACGCCCGCGGCGGAGCCGCGATCCTCTTTGGCGCAAGCGTGGCCGTGGGCCGCCGAGTCTCAGCGATCCTGATTTGCTTCGTTCTTTCGTTTCAGCGTATCCGCTCGATGACTCTCGCGGTTGCTATCTGCCCTCACCCGTGAATCAGCTTCCCTTCCGAAGCCAGCGACGCCTCGTGCAGCGCCTCGTGCATCGTCGGGTGGGCGTGGACCGTCACGTTGATCTCCTCCGTCGTCGCCTCCAGGCGGCGGGCGAGGGTCATCTCGGCAATCAGCTCGGTCGCCTGATCGCTGAAGATGTGCGCACCGAGGATCTCGCCGCGGGGCAATCCTCGCAGGATCTTCACCATGCCCACGTTCGCGTTGGCCGCGATCGCCTTGCCGTGGGACATGAGCTGGAACGCGCCGACGGCGTAGTCCGTGCCCTTCTTGAGCCCCTGCCCCGTGAGCGCCTGCTCCGTGAAGCCCACGCTCGCGACCTGCGGGTGGCAGTACGTGCAGCCCGGGATCACCGTGTAGTCCATCGGGATCGGGTCGTGGC